ACCTCATGTTCAGATGGACATAGCTGCTTTGGAGGAAGTTCAACATTAGGTGATAACAATCATCCTAGAATTAAGTCAACTCGATACAATGAATGGTTGAGGGCCACAGGACTAATGACACTGCAAACTAGACATGACGGGGCTGTTCTCATTGAAGCACTATAGAACACATTCGCAATATACTCGCTGAAAACAGCATAGCACAGACCATATACACTGACGGATCACTCAATACAGCTACAGGGAGGGCAGGAAGTGCTGTTATTGCTCATCAGCCCGATGGCAGCACAATTCAAAGGAATGTAGGAATTAGTAACTAGGCATCCACAATGCAAACTGAGTTGGTAGCAATACTGGTAGCACTCGATATTATTGACAACACTGAAGTAGACAGCTTAATTATTTCCGACTCCCTTTCCTCACTACGAGCATTAAACAGTTTGCAGTCAAGTAATAATGCGCTTGTCTTGGAAGCTAGACGTAGATATATAAGCACACTTAGCAACAGGGTAAATATAAAAATGCTGTGGATTCCTTCTCACATTGGCCTGCAGGAACATGACAAAGTTGACGCCCTTGCTAAGGCTGCAGTAAATAAAGACAGTATTGAACGGAATCTTGAGTTATCAAATAAGTCCCTTAAAAGTGTCATTAGACGAGAACTCCTGGATGAATTTGAAGAAAGTAGAACAATGCAAACTGGAACTAGCAGGTCCATTGCTCATCACAATGAACGGTGTGAAGTAAAACATGTGTATGGGGCAAGTAACAAAGTCAGTAGACTAACAGATGTTGTCACAGCTCGTATAAGACTTGACTACAAGTATCTCTGTCAGTTCGGCTTGTATAGGTATCTAGATGAAGTAAAGTGTGTGGACAAAGAAAGACACACACTCGAACACTATATCTTGGATTGTAGTAAATTTGAGCCATTTAGAGATAAATCTAAGCTCACTCTGTATGATATGGCAACCTATCTTATTACCATGGATAAATTACCTGAAATCCTTGCACTGTATCCATATTTCGCTTCCAGTAGATAAACGACATACGAGATGAAGAAACAAGTAGTGTATTGTGAAGACTAATAATAAACAGCAGCTCCCCTATGACTCAGTAATATCTCCATTGGTCAAACTATTATGTATTAGCGATAAGACCTACCATTAATGTATAATGACTTACTGTAAATATATAGCTCTTGAAATAGCACTTTCTCTGTAACTAGCTGACATTGTAACTATAAGGTGTGAATGATAGATGAAATTGTTTATGTAATAATCTAAGATGAGGTCTGATAAAGACCTTTTGTGCCCTCTGTAATGCTTTTTGCGCTACCGCTCACAGGATGAGTATGGGGTGCACAATAAACTAGCCGCCTCCGGCGGCAACAATCAAAACAAAATCATTGAACTTTTAAAACAATGAATAATTTGGATGACATTGATTCAGATTACTTTTTCAAAACATCAAATGTAACATATAAGAAGTAGAGTTTCGAGATCAAAAAGCCACAGTATATGACAAAACAGGAGATGATTTTTTTTACTCATAGGATTATAAACCTTGGTTTATTATAATAATTATGGATGTATATATCTGTGAAATATATTGTATATATATATTGTTATAGCATGAATATAGTTATGTTACTAAACAAGAGTCTCGTCTCTTTAGCCTCTCATGTATTATAATGCCCGCCAAAGCCGTAAATGCCAAAACATTAATATAGTTAAAAATCCAGCTGGATTAAGTCATTAGGAAAAATGGGTGGAACATTTGACAAGCTGCCAGCTTCCTGCCCTCATCAAGGTGACCAGAGATAAAGTGGCCCTCAAGTCAAGAACTACAAGAACAAATGTGGAAATGTACACAAACCACAGCTGTTCTACATTTTAGAACACAAATGTTGCCTTGCTTAAAATGTTATTGTTAAACATTGCAATATCTGGACTGTATTTGCCTTCCTAATTAACAAGATACTTTGCAGCAGGCAATCAGCAGGTACTACTGCAAAGTACCTTATTACTGAAGGTAATAAGAAATATATGTGCAGCAAATTGACATACAGGAATATGAGTACTGTATAAGCCAAGACTCGATTAAGACATAAACTGTACAAACTACAGTTTCAATCTGAAATTATATTCTCAAAATCCCAAATTGATTTTCATTTATTAGTTTTATTAAAATTTATACTTAAGTAATGATTTAACCTAATTAACAACAATTAACATCAATAAATTAAACTTGTTCTCTATTAACAATTACTAAATAGGCCTTTATAGTGGCTCATAGCTTCAGGTCTCACCATGTCTAAATCTGGCTCTTATGTAAGCCTAACCACCTCTGCCTGCAGACTGGCTGAGGCAGGTTACAAGTCTTCTCCCACCGCGGCTTGCTGAGAAAAAATGCTTTATAATTATTTTACATTTTTTTAGCCAAATAATTTTGTTGGTAAGTTATTAGCCAGTGATCAAATTATCACACGAGTCTAAATGAAGAATGTGCAGTAAAAACAATTTTTTTTTATTACATATATTGAAACTATGCTACAGGGTATATAGTTTTTACACCCAATTGTTTGCCAATTCAATAATTACTGTATTGTATTTGACAGGTATAATGAATATTGCATTAAAAAATAAAAAACAAATTTAACATTTAGAGGAAAGTGGACTGTGATGAATTTGTACTAAATTGATGTACTTAATGGTTATTATAAAGATAATTCACATTACTACTTTCCCAGCAAGGAAAGTAATAAACCTGTATTTGCATAACAGTGGTTGAAAACCCTTCTTGAACAGTAAAAAGAAAATTAAATTATTACCCCCTGGAAGGTTGCCAAGGTTGCAGGGGACGAGTCACATTAACGTGGCTGAAGATACGATGAAACTACATATCAGAAAATGAAGAAGGGTTCAGACAGATCCAACAAATTCCCCTATACAATAAATCTGCTTTGACCCAATATAGTTTGAATAAGTTCATACTAGTGTGTGTGTGTGTGTGTGTGTGTGTGTGTAATTACCTAAGTGTAATTACCTAAGTGTAGTTACAGGATGAGAGCTACGCTTGTGGTGTCCCGTCTTCCCAACACTCTTTGTCATATAACGCTTTGAAACTACTGACGGTCTATGCCTCCACCACCTTCTCACCTAACTTGTTCCAACCATCTACCACTCTGTTTGCGAAAGTGAATTTTCTTATATTTCTTCGGCATCTGTGTTTAGCTAGTTTAAATCTATGACCTCTTGTTCTTAAAGTTCCAGGTCTCAGGAAATCTTCCCTATCGACTTTATCAATTCCTGTTACTATTTTGTATGTAGTGATCATATCACCTCTTTTTCTTCTGTCTTCTAGTTTTGGCATATTTAATGCCTCTAACCTCTCCTCATAGCTCTTCCCCTAGGCAGGGTGAGACAGTGTGTATGTGTGTATGTGTGTATGTGTGTGTGTGTGTGTGTGTGTGTGTGTGTGTGTGTGTGTGTGTGTGTGTGTGTGTGTGTGTGTGTGTGTGTGTGTAATTACCTAAGTGTAATTACCTAAGTGTAGTTACAGGATGAGAGCTACGCTCGTGGTGTCCCGTCTTCCCAGCACTCTTTGTCATATAACGCTTTGAAACTACTGACGGTCTTGGCCTCCACCACCTTCTCACTTAACTTGTTCCAACCGTCTACCACTCTATTTGCGAAGGTGAATTTTCTTATATTTCTTCGGCATCTGTGTTTAGCTAGTTTAAATCTATGGCCTCTTGTTCTTGAAGTTCCAGGTCTCAGGAAGTCTTCCCTGTCGATTTTATCAATTCCTGTTACTATTTTGTACGTAGTGATCATATCACCTCTCTTTCTTCTGTCTTCTAGTTTTGGCATATTTAATGCTTCTAACCTCTCCTCGTAGCTCTTGCCCTTCAGTTCTGGGAGCCACTTAGTAGCATGTCTTTGCACCTTTTCCAGTTTGTTGATGTGCTTCTTAAGATATGGGCACCACACAACAGCTGCATATTCTAGCTTTGGCCTAACAAAAGTCATGAACAATTTCTTTAGTATATCGCCATCCATGTATTTAAATGCAATTCTGAAGTTAGAAAGCATTGCATAGGCTCCTTGCACAATATTCTTAATGTGGTCCTCAGGTGATAGTTTTCTATCTAGAACCACTCCTAGATCTCTTTCTTTATCAGAATTCTTTAAAGATTTCTCACATAATATATAGGTTGTGTGGGGTCTATGTTCTCCTATTCCACATTCCATAACATGACATTTATTAACATTAAATTCCATTTGCCAAGTGGTGCTCCATATACTTATTTTGTCCAGGTCTTCTTGAAGGGCATGACAATCAACTAAATTTCTTATCCTTCCTATTATCTTAGCATCATCAGCAAACATGTTCATATAATTCTGTATACCAACTGGTAGATCATTTATGTACACAATAAACATCACTGGTGCAAGAACTGAACCCTGTGGTACTCCACTTGTGACATTTCTCCATTCCGATACATTGCCTCTGATTACTGCCCTCATTTTTCTATCAGTCAGAACATTTTTCATCCATGATAGAAGCTTACCTGTCACCCCTCCAATATTTTCCAGTTTCCAGAACAACCTCTTATGTGGAACTCTGTCGAAAGCCTTTTTTAGGTCCAGATAGATGCAGTCAACCCAGCCATCTCTTTCCTGTAATATCTCTGTGGCCCGATCATAGAAACTGAGTAAATTCGATACACAGGATCTTCCTGATCGAAAACCATACTGTCTGTCTGATATTATATCATTTCTCTCCAGGTGTTCTACCCATTTAGTTTTGATTAGCTTTTCCAATACTTTCACTATTACACTTGTCAATGATACAGGTCTATAATTGAGGGGGTCTTCCCTGCTGCCACTTTTGTAGATTGGAACTATGTTAGCCTGTTTCCACACGTCTGCTACGATTCCTGTACACAGGGATGCCTGAAGGATCAGGTGAAGTGGAATATGTATGTATGTATGTGTGTGTGTGTGTGTGTGTGTGTGTGTGTGTGTGTGTGTGTGTGTGTGTGTGTGTGTGTGTGTGTGTGTGTGTGTGTGTGTGTGTGTGTGTGTGTGTACATACATACATACATACACATCACATGGCTTAACTGAAAACATTTAATGATAAATACGCAAGACATTTTGCTTAAATTTAAGTGCGACCATTTAATTTTAGAAAACAGTAATTGTCAAATTAATAAATTACTGCTTGGTTATTTGATTCTTTGGGTATTAAATGGGCATTAACAGCAGCATCACAAAGAAACATAATATTTGTAGACTTCAATTAGTATTCTGTTTCGCTATCATTGTCACTGTCATTGTCTTTAGAGAATATTTCCTCAGTGTACCAACTTGGTAGGAAGCGGACCATTGAAGAATCATTCAGCTTTGTGCAATATATGTTGCCAAATTCTTTACGATCAAATCTGTATATAACTTGGGGTTCCTCTGCCACCTTGCTTTTAACAAAAGCCAAAAACTTGACTAAGAAGTTGACACACACATCAGGCTCCCACTCACCCTGCAAAGATAAAAACAAACCATTCAGCTTCTGGCTGACTTGTAAACCTTCAGGGACATTTTTCTTGCAAATTATTCTCCCCCCCCTCAATCCACTAAATATATACAAAATGCAACACAAAAATTATTGAAAACCCACATTATGGATTAGTAACAACACCAGTAAAGTGGTTTACATTATTGGATAGGTAACTATTGGATAAACACGATTGGAGACTAATACATGACTTAATTAACTTACTAGATATGTATTGATAGTAACTGATCAAAGAGATATATATACCAAGCCCCATGATATAGACACAAAAACCTAATTAAAGAATTGATTGCCATTAACCTACACTGACCAATAATGGAAGGAACAATAGATTTATGATCATACTTAGGTGATATCCATTTTAAGTCAATATGATTAGAGTTTCTAAAGATAACCCACAGATTTCTCACAGATTAAAATTTCTCACAGAAAAATAAAGCCAATATATAAAATTACAGGTAAATCTGTGAAACAGAATCATAACAAGATTGAGAAAATCCCTAAGGACGAACTTATTAAAATAAATAAAAAAGAAGAAACATGGAGATGCCAAATTAAAAACATATATTTACAGTAATTAAAAACTTACTGAACCTGTAACGTTGAGGTAATGCAAATGATGATCCCGAGATGAATACAACTTTAATATATTCTTTAGATTTATATTATTATTATTGCTCTACCTGCCCTGACTGACTCGGCCACCATTCTGTCTGTGACTCACCAGAATGCGAGTTCAAGTCACTATTACCTCAAAATATTTTTCGTCGCTATATCACACCACTGTGATTTCTTAACGGTGATGATTATTATTATAACAATAATTTACACAGTACTGTATAGACAAAAGCACATACTGTACCATACATATAAACATTAGATAAAAGAATAGAGGAGGATTCCTACATAAGACAAGTAGAATGCTTAAAGCCACTAATACACAAGAGCGTTTCAGGCATAATATGGAAAAAAGTGAACAATATACAAGCTTAACCACTGGACTGCGCTGGCCGAGAAAACTTGGCCTGTTGGAAACTGCTCGAACTGAGAAACTTTTTTAATTTTTCATACTAATTCAAAACGTGCACACGGTTGGTTGGGTACGAAATGGACTCTTGGGACCTCCAGTGAGAGGCAGCCATCCTGGAAAAAAATTCCCAGAATGCCCTATGGCTGCTGGCTGGCTAAGTTCAGAGTGAGCAGCCTTGGGTGGCACACGCGCCTTTGACCCCCAAACACCTATTCGACGTGGTGTTGAAAGATTGCCCTCTGTCTCTGTCGATGAAATTCAGACCTTTTTGTTTCAAGAACATAAGGGTCATAATATTGACGAAGCTAGGCACAATAAGGACCTAACACAAGGGACAGATGCAAGTGAATCAGCTAAGATGAGGACGATACAGTGAGAATATCCAGTAGTAGCTGAGCACAACCCATGATCACCCATGTTATCTCCAATTCTTACGGATGATACATATGATACATAGATGATACATAGATGAATCATTTTCTGCGTTCAGTGATGATGCACCTGATACAAGTACCATAGACAAACAGTGTTAGCGGCTTCCATGGTGGTGTTTTCCATAGATCTTTTCAAGAATAGTTGAATCTCTTCCATAATAGCTGAATCTCTTCCAGAATACCTGATTCTCTTCCAGAATACCTGAATCTCTTCCAGAATACCTTACAAAGCAATTTTTTGAAGACTACCCTACAAATTTATCTTTTCCTATAATCTTTTCAAGACTACCTTACACTTCACAAGCTTGGCACATATCACCTACAGGTACAAAACCAAAGGTGTACATAAGTGCATTATTTGCAAGCACACAAAACAAAGAAACAGGAAGTGAAAATATGTTTGTACCTGGTGCATCAAGAGCTAAGTCGCACTGTGTAACATGGACGGCTTCATTGATTATCACTCGCTTCCAAAGTACTGAGTGTATAATACAGTGTGTGAAACTGTACATATTTAATTTGAGTGAATTTTGAACAAGTAATATTGTAATAATAAACATTTATTGTGGACACATTATTGACACATGTATCACAATAAACGTTCTACTGTACACATATTGTAAAGGACACAAATTTGCATCATATACGATAAACAAAATTAATTATAAAGCATTGAAAATACATAGAAAAATAATTGTAAATATATTGGTGGCAACTCGCGAGGCTTGAATGGTCTGCGCGATCATATCTAGGCGCTTCATACACGGGCAACCAGCCCGTGATGAAGCGGGCACCCACCACTTTCTTCATGTCCCCACAGCCAAATTATGTGGAATTTGATTTTTTTTTTTTTACATGTACTGTACATGTTCAGGGAGGAAAATTTATCATTTTACAAAGAAAAAAATTGGGAACACTTGATTTTCGGCACACAGGGAGACTTTCACAATAAATGCAGCGCATCACAGCTGTTAAAGGGATAACTCTTAAGACTAACTGAGATCAGTAACATTTATCTTAAGTGAGCATACTTCACTAATCTCTGGGAGATCATCAGTCTTCAAATGCTGTAATGTGTGCACAACACCATCGTCATTTCTGTAGCCGACAACAATCCGAGGGATGCCAGACAACTTGTTTTCTATCCACCACTGAAGTAGTTTGAACCTGTAGAATATGAACAGAGGAATTAATTCCATATCTGGAGAAGTAAAAGTGAATAGTAAACTATATACAGTATGTGGTTTACTGTTATGAGGGCAATTGAAAAAGGTATCCCTGATCATAGGTGACAGCATATTGCACATTACAAACTAGAGGTGTACCATTATGATACTGACTTTATTATTTTTCAAAATCTATACCAAAACTGATTATTTCCTTTTAAATACATAAGAGTATTAGAAAATATTACAACATATAATTTTCATTATCTCAGGGTTAGTAAATACCCGATGATGAATGATGACACAGTAAATTAGTATTTGTTGTTTCAGATTCAGCTACTTGGAACAAAAAGTTCCAAGTAGCGTATGCTATGGTGAGCCCATAGTGGACTTATTTTAAATTAGTAACATTGAATAATTAAATTTTGTTAATTTATTTTTATTTATTTATATATACAAGAGTTCTTAAATTCTTGTACAGCCACTAGCACACATAGCATTTCGGGCAAGTCCCTAACCCTTGGGCCGCTAAGGGTCACAACGGCTTCAACACCCACAGGCACAACAAAAAAAAAATCCAAAATTTTTTTTTGTCTTATAAGTGTTCATTTGTGTTCCCAGATCACGCGAAAAAAAAAAATTCGTAGGTGACATATTTTGGGTGCAATAGGGCGGGGAAGTTTGGCATAAAACCAGCGTTGAATGTAATGAAACGCCATTTTCTGGGTGAGTCCCGGAGGCTCCCTGGAGCTATCCAGGTTGAATGGATATGAATAATTTACTAATAAGTGCCAGTATTCTGGCACTTTGATGCCAGAATACTGGCATCAAAGTGCTTGGAGTTCTTGCCTACCGGGGACCATGAGCCAGAACCTGGCCCCCTCAGAGAGGCACAGATAGCAATGGCCTATAGAAAACCCACTGTGGTTGGGACCATTCTATGTCTGCCATTGACCGGGACAGGCACCCAGAAAGATAGGCACCCCAAACCAAACCCCTATTCTGGTGAAAATATTGCTACCGAAAGCCGAACGAGTGGACAGAACTCCCTAAACAAAATTATGACTAAACTAGCATGACGTCATCACGTCGCTGAGCCACCGTCTGCACAACCCCCCCCCCCCCTGGGAGGGAAAGGAGAAGCCCCAGACCATCTACGCCGGCGATCCAACCGGCAGTTCTTAGGCTGGATGTCAAAATACGCAAAAACAATGCCGACTGAAGGGAGGGAGGGATGCCGGGGAGCCCCCGGGACTTACCCAGAAAATGGAGTTTCATTACATTCAACACTGGTTTTCTGAGGGGAGCCCCGTCGACTCCCTGGAGCTACCTCACCACAGGTAAGTAAAAGAAGGAAGTATTCAGGAGGCGGACGCCACGCTCCTTAACCTAAAAACAAGACCACAGACGAAACAAAAAGACCCTGCAGACAACCCGGGAGACCCCAACCCCATAACAGGAATGAGGGAAGGAAGGGAACCCGGGCAAACTAAAACGCGTCCATGATCCTAGAGGCCAAGATGTGCTGAGAACAGTGAAAAGCCGCAACCGAACAACAAGGAAGCATCCCCGGCCTGACCAACCAAGCAGCAATCCAAGGACCAAACCGAGGAGAAAAAAATAGATCACCCGGGCCAATGACCAGGACAGCACCAGAACGCAAGCGCAGGCCGGAGGTGAAACAACGCCCAAGAACGCAAGTGGAACAGAACAGAAGGAACAGCAACACTGAACGTAAGCTGGAGCAGCTCTGCCAGCACCACCCAAGACGAGGCGACAGTACACGGTACCAGAAGACGGTCCTGGAACAACCTCGAAGGGAAAGACAAGACAATCCTATCAGAGACCGAAGGATCCTCTGCAGTGATAGGAAAACCAGATGAGAGACTAACAATGAAGCTACCAGTGCCCATACAAGCGACGAGAAACAAGAGATAAAAACCCGAGGTGCGAAGAACTGAGGGGAGGAATGAACCAGCCCTGTACAGGACGGGACTGACCCACAAAGAGAGGTGGAGCCATGGGAAGACCCACAGGATCGAAACCAAAGAAAGCAGCAGGGTCCGCAAAGGAAGGCAAAAACCAGAAGGAATGGCCATCAGGGAACCAGGAACCCAAACCCAGCGAGCCGAAAGGAACTAACCCGAGTGAGCAGAAATGCCCCGTCCGGGAGGAACCCCCCTTTCAGGACCCCTGAAGGATCAACAAGGCCAAACACCGAAGAGCCAGGGACCAGGCAGAGGCCAACGGGGAAAGCAGGCACCACGAAGGAAAGTGCGAGACACGAAGCGAAAAACAGCGACCCCGCAACCCAAAGGAGCAGCGCAACGAGCTCCAACAGGAAAGAACGCTGCACGCATCTCCAAGGGATACCTGAGGAGAACTACACAGGACATGAACCACAGGAAAACAAAAACGTACAGCCCAGAAAAGGAACAAGGAAAAGCTGGAGCCAGGCCTGGAATCCCAGCTACCCATCCCAAAAAGGGAACCAATGGGCAGGCGCAGTGGACCGGAAGTCCACAACCCCCCCCCCCCCACAGACAGTGCAACACAGAAGCCTGCAGTGAGGCACAAAGAAAATGTGAAGGAACTCAGTACCCAAACTAAACACCGGGGCAGTCCAAAAGCAGGGAACTGAACATGGACAGAGGCCCACCTCAGCACCCAAAAACAGTATAGCCAATAAGCACCAACCCAGAAGCACAGCCATGTGTAGCTTAGGAGGAGGAAAACGGAAACAAGCAAGGAAGAACCCTGAATACGAACCAAGTAGCAGCCGGGAACGCAGTGTACACAACCAACCACAAAGTTTGTAGTGGGAGGTCGCACATACACAGAGGGACACCATGGATATCAGGGTGCAACTAGGCACCGAAGATAGGCAAGAAAGGAGTGTCCAGAGAAGAGACCAAGCCAGGAAGGAGGACACAGAAGCACGGACTGAGGGAACGAAGTTGTGTCCAAATATAGGGAAAAGACCCAGGTGCCAAAAACTAAACAAAAAGCACAAAAATGCAGGGCAGCGCCCTACAGGACAAAGAAGAACAAGATACACGGACAAAGAAAGCCACACGCAAGGCATCCAAGTAAAACACACAACACCAAACAACCCTGACAGGAGCCAGCGACGCAACCCCGTCACGCGGGGAAGTGACAAGAGTAAGCAAGGATGGAGTACTGAACATGGGGGGGTACATGCACAAGGGGACACAGGAGGAAGCAGAGAACCCCAATGAGCTACAGAGACATTAAAAAGAACTGGAGCAATGTCAGAGGAGGTAGGAAATGAAATGCACGTTGAAGGGATGTGGTGGAGGCAGACTCCATACACAATTGCAAAATAGATATGAAAGAGCCCAGGAGGCTCAGAAATCTGCACACCCGTCGACCTACAGTCGAGAGGCAGAACCAAGAGCCATAGCTTAATCCCCGCTAGCACAACTAGGCAAGTACCCCACCAAAGGTCGAGAACCAGCACCTGGCTGACAGTCGCCAGACAGTACAACCTCACCTGCAGAGTGGAGACACAACTGTGCCACAACACAATCGAGCAGAGTAACATACCAGGAGCATCACCAGTGGTATGCCCGAAACAGTATGCGCACAAGAGGCAGTAGGTAATGTATGTACTGGTACCCAAATAAAAATGTGAATTTGAAGTTGAAAGACGTCCAGAGGTCTTTCACCCCGGCCTCAGTGTGCGAGGTAAGAACCGCACCTACAGAGCTACAAGGAGAGGTTAGAGGCATTAAATATGCCAAAACTAGAAGACAGAAGAAAAAGAGGTGATATGATCACTACATACAAAATAGTAACAGGAATTGATAAAATCGATAGGGAAGATTTCCTGAGACCTGGAACTTTAAGAACAAGAGGTCATAGATTTAAACTAGCTAAACACAGATGCCGAAGAAATATAAGAAAATTCACTTTCACAAACAGAGTGGTAGACGGTTGGAACAAGTTTGGTGAGAAGGTGGTGGAGGCCAAGACCGTCAGTAGTTTCAAAGCGTTATATGACAAAGAGTGCTGGGAAGATGGGACACCACGAGCGTAGCTCTCATCCTGTAACTACACTTAGGTAATTACACTAGGTAAATTACCACCCATCCACCGGGTGGCTCGGCTCGTACACCAGTCGGACATACACATATCGTATATACACATATCGTACGTACACATACCATACATACACCAGCAAGGTGCACGTAACGAATTGTATGTATTAGCCCTATCTATAAATCCATCACTCTTTGTAAAATCTCTTGTATGTATGTACCTTACCTAAATAAACATTTGATTTGATTTGATTTTTGAATAGGAGGAACGTCGAAACAGGAAGGAGAGAGACAATGAGAAAACAAAAGAAGGCGAAACAGAAGTGAAAGAAGACAAGGAGGACAGAAGGGGATCAACGAGTCCGAAAAAGGACCAGAGGGAAACCCCACCAGAAGTCAACAGACGTTCCAATAATATTGGAAGGTACGAAGAGGTTCGGGAACCAACGAGAACCATGACAAGCAGGCACAAATGCAAAGAGGCACATATGGATAAAACAGATACTCCCTGATCAAGGTACATGCACGGACCTCGATACAAAGGGAACAGTAATGCGACGAAAGCGCGAAAAGGATGAGGAAAAGGAGGTGAAACACCCCCAGGAATGATGGGACCGACGGACTCTAAGGAACACGGAACTGAACCCAGGGAGCGGGAGACCCGAAACCAACAGTAACGCAGAGGGGGAAGGAAACTCCCCACCCCGAGGAACTGCAAGCCCCGCACCGAGGTTACAAAGACCCAAGCGGGGCAAAACGGGGCCAAGGCCCCCCCCCCCCCAAGCAACCCCGGGAACCTTGACGGCAGGACCCGGGGTCGAGCCATACCCCCCAAAGCCCCAGCCTCATAAGGAAAAGGCGGGGCAGCCATGCAAAACACTACGGAAGGAAGCCCACTGGTCAGACCCATACAGCATGGCTGGAGGAACAGGCTCGAATG